GGGGGGAGGCCGCAGGTGGGACGGGCGGGGGAGCGGAGGGGGGGGCCCGCGAGCGGCGGGGGGCGGGGGGAGGCCGCAGGTGGGATGGGCGGGGGAGTGGAGGCGGGGCCGGAGAGCGGCGGGGGCGGGGCAGGGAGACCGCGGGAGGGCGCGCGCCTTAGCACCTTCAGGTTTAACAAAGTATTTTGAAGGTTACAAAGCAGATTCTGTTTCAGTTTATCGGGTAATTTAGGGTTACAAAGTATTTTCCAGTTCAACTAGAATTTTAGGGTTTATAAGAGTTCCCAGTCTATACAGCGTTTTAGGCGTTACAAAACCTTTTGCAGTTTCAAGGCCTTTCAGGAGTTACAAAATATTATATTTGATCAATTATAAGTTGCGCTTTCGCTCCCATGGTCTATCATCACTATACATCTTACACTGATGTCTTTGAGTGATAAATACGGTGTTTTTGTTTTATACTGTATTTTAAGCCGTATAAAGCATGTTTCAGTTTGCAAGGAGTTCTAGGGTCTAGAAGTTACTGAATTGCTGCTTCATGATGCATACTTTTCTCTCGTTATTTATTAAACGTTTTAAAATGTTTATTTTTGAGAGAGAGACAGAGAGAGAGAGAGAGACAGAGCATGAGCAGGGGAGGGGCAGAGAGAGAGGGAGACTCAGAATCCGAAGCAGCACAAGGCTCTGAGCTGTCAACGCAGAGCCGAATGCTGGGCTCAAACCCACGACCTGCGAGATCATGACCTGCGCAGAAGTCGGACACTTAACCGAACGGGCCACCCAGACGCCCCTTTTTAAATTTTTTAAAAGTTAATTTATTTTTGAGAAACATGGAAGAGAGAACAAGGTGGGTGGGGAAACGCAGAGAGGGAGAGAATCCCAAGCAGGTTCCAGGCTCCAAACTGTCAGCATAGACTCCGATGTGGGGTTGCAACCCCATGGACCATGAGATCATGACCTGAGCCAAAGTCAGACGCTTAACTGACTGAGCCACCCAGGCGCCCTTCTCTCTCTCTCTCTCTCTCTCTTTTGGAAGAGACTAAGTTTAGTTCCTTTTTAAAATATAAATTTTATTTTTTGATATCAAGTATTTACTTAAATTCTAGCTAGTTAACATGTATGGCAAAACTGTCTTCAGTAGTGTCAGTGATCCCTCACTTCCATACACCACTTGCTGTTCATCACAGGTGCCCTCCTTAGCGCCCATCACCATCTAGCCCACTCCCACCACCTCCCTCCATCAACCCTCAGTTTGTTCTCTATCATTGAGTCGCTTGTGGTATGCTTCTCTTTCTTTTTCCCCCCATTCCCTACGTTCATCTATTTTGACATCTTTGAAGCCTGCGTGTTTTTTAACCATCAGCTGTGTCTTTGAACTACATCAATATTTGGGAGTTTTTCCCCCCTCTGCTTGTGGTACATAAAATAGTGATGCATCGGGGTGCCTGGGTGGCTCAGTAAGTTAAGCGGGTGACTTTGGCTCAGGTCATGATCTCGCGATTTGTGGGTTCGAGCCCCATGGTGGGCTCTGTGCTGACAGCCAGCTCAGAGCCTGGAGCTGCTTCAGAGCCTACTTCTGTGTCTCCCTCTCTCTCTGAGCCTCCCCTACTCCTGCTATGTCTGTCTCTCTCAAAATTAAATAAACATTTATAAAAAACAGTGATGCATCTTACCATTGCTTTGAGTCAAGTTCAGGTTTGGTATTCAATAGTTCCTAAAGCATTTTAGTGTGTACAAAGCATTTTTCATTGTACAAGGAGTTCTACGGTTTATGAAGCATTCTGGAGCACCCAAGGGCCTTGGGCTTTACAGGTTATTTCCCAGGTGAGAAGGTGCTTGGGGGTCAAGGGTCTTCCCAAAGTTTACCAGGTGCTGTCCCTTCACCCAGCTGCATCCTCAGAGCTGCCCTGGGTGGCTCCATGTTGTCTCTTTGTGTGGGTCACACTCAGGTGGGGGAGGTGTCTGGCCCAGGTCTGGTGGGGGCCCCAGGTGCCTGTCCTTTCAGGTCCCCAGTGTCTGGCTCACAGCTGCAACCTCTGGCCTAGTGTGTGATGTCGGTAGCCCTGGGGCCCAGGGCCCTCTCTGCTAAGTGGATTTGTGGGAGAGGACTGGCAGGTCCTAACCCTGGAGAAACGTCAGAACTTCCTCAAATACTTGGCTAAAACATAGACTCCCAGTTCCAAGGAAATAGGCGGTTTTGCTATTGGGCCTAGGAAGGTGCATTTGAAGCCTGCTCCCCAGATGCTGTGTGTCAGGTGAGCCCGTCCATGAAATCTCTGGCAGGGAGGAGGGGCAGGGGGTTACCGTCTGTGTTGTGTCCAGTCCTAGCATGTGGTGATGCTAAAATCTTCTCACTCTAAGACACAACAGGTTGCTTTCCATTAGGCGTCTGCAAGATTTCAGGGGTACGTTCATGTCCTAGAGCTGTCCTGCCAAACAGCTACCAGACAGGTGGCTTAAACAACACAAGAGTATCCTCTCCTGGCTCCCAAGGCTGGAGGTCAGAGACTCAGGTGTGGCAGGGCTGGGTGCTTCTGAGGCTCCCCCAGATTCTGGAGGGGGTGGCAGCCCTTGGTGTCCTTGACTTGTTGACACCCCTGCCATCACTGCCTTGCTTTCTCTCTGTGTCCGAGTTTTCTCTTCTTCTAAGGATGCCGGCCATTGGCTTTGGGGCCACCAGCATGAGCTCATGTTAAGACTCTTTCTCCCCCTCCCCTCCATTCATCTGTCTTGACATCTTTGAAGCCTGTGTGTTTTTAACCATCAGCTGTCTTTGAACTGCATCAGAGACACATCTACAAAGACACCTTCTCCAAATAAGTTCCTGTCCACGGGTTCCAGGGTTTGGGACATGGACACGACTTTTTGGGGACCACCATTCAATCTGCTATAGCAAGTGTGGCCCCAGAACTCTAGCAGTTTCCGAGCCTGTGTCCATTCCTAACTCTGGAGCCTTGAGTCTGACTCTATGTGTGAAGTCCTGGAGGCCTCTGAGCCAGCGGCTCTCAGACCGGAGCGCGCATCAAGGCTGGAGCGAGGGCTCTGGAGGCTGCAGAGCCGGTCAGCGGCCTCTCCAGCTCCCAGCGGTGCTGACGCCCGGCCTCTGGCCCCACAGGTGCGGACGAAGGACGTGCTCTTTGAGAGCATCAGCCATCTGATCGACTACCACCTGCAGAACGGGCAGCCCATCGTGGCCGCCGAAAGCGAGCTGCATCTGCGCGGTGTGGTCAAACGCGAGCCCTGAGCCAGGTGCGTAGACGGCCCCACGCGCTCTCAGCCTTCACCCATTTGCCAGCTTTTCTCTCATTTTAAAAATTAAGAAAGAATTCACAAACCACATAATTCACCCATTTAAAGTCTGCAACTCGGTAGTTTTTTAGCATGTTTAGAGATGTGTAACCATCCTCTACCTAATTCCGGAACTTCCACCACCCCAAAAGGTACACCGTCCCCATCGGCCACCACCCGCTCCCCAGACCCCCCCTCCCAGCCCCCTCCCGTCCGTGGAGGAGCCTGTTCTGGACGTTTCTCACACGTGGACTCACACCCGCGTGGCCTCCCGTGTCTGGTTCCCTCCCCCAGCGTCGTGTGTTCGGGTCCGTCCGCGGGGCGGCGGGTGACGGCGCCTCGCTGGTGCTCGCGGCCGAGGGACGTGCGCGTGCGCGGTGGACGCCCCTGAGGGACGTGCGCGTGCGCGGTGGACGCTCCGGAGTGGCAGGCGCGTGCGCGGTGGACACGTGTTTATTCTTTCACTCAGTGGACATTTGGGTGTTTCCACTTTTTGGCGGTCACGAATAATACCACTCAGAACATGCATATCCAGGTTTTTGTGTGGACGTGTGCTCGTTGCTCCTGGGCACACACCTAGGCGTGGAGTTGCTGAGTTGTTACGGCATCTCTGTGTTTAACGGGAAGGAGGGGGCTTTTTTCTGGAGGGGGGACTAGCGTGGCCTGGGTCTGGTGGGTGTTTCAGGAGAGGCGCGTGAGATGAAAAAGTGCACCCTTGACCTTTGGCTTTTGGTGCTGGGGAGCCATGGGGAGGTTTTGAGCTGGGGAGGGACAGGCAGGACCTTTTAGGTGAGAGACTGGGACCTCTGGGGGAGGTGGGGGAGCTTTAGGCAGGAGATGCCTGTGAGCTGTGGGCGCAGCGGGGTGGGGGTGGCGTGAACTGTCTTGTGGAGGGAAAGACAGAACCTGGGGTTTGGAAGCCAGGACCTGGGGGCTCAGCTGGGGAGGGAGGGGCTGCAAAGGAAGGGGTTTGTGGAATTCCCCCAAGGGCTCAGCAGAGAGGAGCTTCCAGCCAGGTTGGGCTGCTCTCCTGTCCCCATGACAACGTCACTGTGCTGCCTCCTCCCCCACCCAGGCCTCAGGCTGCAGGCACAGGGGTTTCCAGTCTGGCGAAGGGCTTCAAGGGCTGTGGGACGCCTGAAATGACCGGCAGTGCCTGCCATCCTCGCTTGCTTCCCTTCCCAGAAGGGGTTTGTGACCCGAGAAACAATGTTGATGGCAGTAGTAATAGCTGCTAACGCAGCAGTTGCTGCGTCCGGATGCTCAGCACCTCCCTGAACTCCACAGACTCCCCGGGGGTCCTGAAACAGGCACTGTTGTTAGCATTTTCATTTTGCAGAAGCAGAAACAGCACAGAGAGATTAGAGCACTACCCTAGGTCACACTAAGAACATAGGGGAGCTGAGACTTGGCCCCGGCCCCTCAGCCTGAAGGCCCTCCCTGGGCCAAGTCACGGAGGTTCAGGGGACCTGACACTGGAACCCAGGTCTCTGGCTGCCATCTCCGCTGACCCTTGACCTCTCCTTCTCTTTGCTCCCCAGGTGATGGTTCTCAGCTCCCGGCTCCTGCCCTGCTCCGCACGTGCCCCCTGTTGTGGCCTTACGGGCTCCTCAGCCTCTCTCTCCGGACCCTGGTCAGGCTGGAACCGCCGCTGTCTCTCCTTCCTCTGCATAGGCCTCTCTCCAGCCTCCCTGGGCTGGGTCACCAAGGCCAAGAGATGGGGGCCCAAGACCCCTTTATCTTGCTGACGCCCTGCCTGCCTCCACCCTCTGAGGAGTGAGGGTGTCCATACCAAAGACAGAACCTTTTCTCACCTCTAAAGAAAATATATTAAAGACAAGCTCTGTCTCTGAGCCCTGGCAGGGCCCCCGGTGGGTTAAGGAGGCACCATCTCTCTTCCTAGATGGACTTCAGCTCTGTCCCTGGAAACAGGGATTCCTGTCCTTGACTGTCTCTTTTGTCCACCTGAAAAATCAGTGCACAGTTGTCTTTCATGGGGAAGAATTGGGTGCTTTGGGCTGATATTGAAGGGGGGGTAGCCTTGGAGCTCAGCTGGGATGGGGGGCTTCCAGGCAAGGCCAGCACACCCGGCCCTGGTGGGGAGTGGTTGTGAGGCCCTGCCCTCCCAAGCTGCCAACCTGCCCTGGCCATTTGGGATCTGCTGGTGATTCCATGTGGGAATGACCAAGAGGAAGCGAACCCCCCCGCACATCGAGAGGCCCTCTGGCTGGGAGGCCGAGGCCAGCCTCCCAGGTGTGGCCTCCCGGGGCTGGAGGATGTGGGGGGTGGGAGGAGGGCGCTGGGCCTTGGGGGCAGTGGTCTACTGGCCCGGAACCCCTGGTACCTCGCCCGCACCTCTGTTTTTACCCCAAGGTAAAGCACCCCGGCTGCTCTGTTACCCACACCCCCATGTTCTCCTTGGGAACACCTTGCTTTACTCCTGAAGGCAGCAACCCTCTCTCAAGATGCCCTCATTTTCCCCTCCAAGTTGCTCCTGACTTACCCCTGAAAGTGCCCGACTTCTCAGGTGTGCACACTCCCCTCAGAACCCCTGTCACCCTCAGAGCCCCTGCTCACGCCTAGCACACAGCTTTTGCGCTCCAGACCTTCCCTCACATGACGTCACACCTCTCCTTCCCAGAGATCTCCATCTCTCCCCGGAACCCCTCCTCTGACCCTCCCTAGCCGTCCCCACACCCTGCCAGGGCCACACGTCTGCCCAGGGCCTGGCTCTCTGGGGAGACTGAGAGATCTGCAGTGATTTCTCTGCAGTCAGAAGGCGCCGCCCCATGCTCTGGGGGGGCCTGGTGAGGGTGGGGGAGCAGCAGACACTCTGTCTGTAACCAGGGGGGAAGCCGCCAAAACACAGAGGAGACTCTGATGCCATGTCTCTTACTTTAGAGACCTGGAGACTGACAGCCACCAGTCAGCCCACCCATCCCACATCCATCCATCCATTCGTCCATTCTCCATTCCACTCACTGGCCCCCCCCCCCCGCCCCCCCGCCCGGATACCCTTTAGTAAGCCTGCATTGGGCCCCTCTTACCTGCCAGGGCCTCTGGTGGATAACAGGGATGCAGCAGTGACCCGAGACTTGTCTGTCCTTGTGGAGCTAAGAGTCAGCGACATTCATCAGCAAGTCACCGCTAAGTGTGTAATGACAACTCCCCTGAAAAGGAGAGAGATCCCTGGTGACCCAGGAGCGTTTCTCTGTGGGATGACACAGGGGCTGTGATCTGGAGGGTGAGAGCCCCAGGGGAGGGGACGGCGTTCGGGGCAGAAGAACTAGCGTGTGCAAAGGCCTGTGGTGTGTGTGGCTCACAGCACATTTAGGGAACAGGCGGGTGACCTGTATGAGTGGCGGTGGGGTGGAGGACACAGCTGGGGTGAAGCTTCGCGCCAGGGAGAGCTGCGAGGGGCCTTTCGAGCACAGAAGTGATAAGATTCCGAAGTGGGAAATGGACTGTTGGGGACAGGATAGGAATGGGGACCAGCTGGGAGAATTCACTGGGATCTGGACTCGGGGAATCTTGACAAGTCTCAGATTCTAGACATTTGTAGGCTAGAGAGGGGTCTCAGTGCACTTTGTCATTCATTCATTCATTCCCCTGCATCTTCACGGGCCCAGGGTCCTCCTTCGAAGCCTCTGTTTATCTGGCACCCCTGCTGAGGCCTGTACAAAAAACTGCACCAACTGCGAGTGCTCAATTCTCCCCACTTTACAGATGAGGAAGCAGAGGCTCAGAGGGGCGAGGGGGCTTGTTGAAGGCCTCACTGCCATGGGGTGGCAGAGCTGGACACCCCCACACACACCTCCCCGTCCTGCTCTCTGAGCTGGACAATCCAGGCCTGAGGGGCGCACACGGTGATGGGAGCTGGGCCCCCTACATTTGTCTCCTGCCCCCTTCCCCCTGCAATTACTCAGGCAACAGATGCCCCTTGCGCCAGCCTCCTCCTCAGGGAGTCTTGGGGTGGGAGGCAGCCACTACGCAATCTTGGACTGGTTGCTTCTCTTCCCTGAACTGGGTGCCCTGTGGAACTGGGCTGCCCCGCTGTGCCTCAGTTTCCTTATCTGGAAACCGGGTGTGGTGGCCCTCCCCCACAGAGGGTTAACCTCTGCCTGGCTGGGTTGGGGTCTCTCCTGGGAGCTTGCAGACAGGCCTGCCTCTTTCAGGGGAGGAGACAGAGCTCAGAGGAGAGGTTGGCAGAGCCGTATGGGTACAAGGTGGCCCCCTGGACTGGAGCGTTCTTGGAGGCCCCTCCCTGTGCAGCCCCCAGCACCTGTCTGCTGGTGGCTGGGGAATGGCCTGTGACTCAGGTCTGGCTCCTGGAAGCACCCTGTCCCTCTTCCTTCCCATGAGGTTAGGTCCCTGGCCTTCCAGCATGCAGTGGCATGACTCAGGTTGGGAGGGGCTGGCCAATATCACCTGGGCCCCCTCCCCAGCTTTGGCCTAAAGCCTGTAGCCTACGCATTTCTGATCTCAGGAAAGCTGCAACTTGGGGTGTGGAGGAGTCCTGGGGTCTGCCACGCCAGTCAGGAGGTAGGTTTTGTTGGTATGTTTTTGAGGTTCTTCCGTATGGGCCACAAGCCTCACTAAGCAGCAGGAAGGGCCAGCCTCCTGGCAGCCCTCCCCCCCCAAGGCAGGTGTTTGGGACCTGTACCAGGTACAGGACCTGTACCTGTCCTCTGGTACCTCTTCTCTCTGGGCCTCAGTGTCCCCAGTCCCCAAAGGTGATGGGGTGGGGGGCAGGGGTGTGGCTTTGGCTGAGCTAGCTGTGGTGGGGTTCAGGTTCTGGGGTTCCCTTCAAGGCCCAGCCAGGCCTCCCGCAGCTGAACCTCTTTTCTCACCAGGAGCTACATCCAAGAAGTGCTCTAGGCCCCATTGTGAGCACTTTGCATGTGGGCACCTGTTAGCCCTTGCTCTGCGGCTGCGGTGCAGGGACAGCTTGTGTGCCTGTGGATGGCATGCGGACAGAGGCAGAGGGTCTGGACACCTCTGGAGTGTTGGCCTCAGGACTTGAACCCCAATGGAGTGCCCCCAGATGAGTGTCCCCAGTTGCTTAGCACAGGAACAGTCACAGAATAAACTCACTGCCTCCTTCCTCAACCCAACTGGGAGGAGATTCTGCCCCAGCTGGGTAAGGATGAGTGGGTAGTGATGCCCCCAGTACCCAGCCTGGCTTGTCATCAGAAGACCTGGCATTGTCCCCCCTCAGAGACCTGAGACAGTCACTCCCCCTTTGTGGGCACCACTGGCCCTGCCTGTGCGATGGAGAAAGGTGGCCCGTGGCCTCTGAGGCCCTGCCCCTGCCTGCTGCCGGACAGAGTGCAACTCCAGGAATCACCCTTCTTCCTGTGGTGCTAGTTCATCCAACTGTCTGGCAGGTATTTATTAAAGACCCCAGTGTCTTGGGGACAAGACAGGGATAGGGCGGCCACACCCCTTCCTCCTGGCAGCTCCAGGCTTGGCAGGGGCAGTGACCACCCAAGCGTGTGCTCTAGGGCATTCTTTGTGGCAGCTCAAGCTGCGGTTCAGGGGGTTCTGTCAGGCTGTGATGCTGGGCCAGCCCAGGCCGGCAAGCAGGGCAGGCTTCCTGGAGGCAGTGGTGAAACAATGCATTCATTGGCATCTGCCTCCCCTGTCAGACTCTGTGGCCATGCCAGCGTTGCCCACAGCACAGAGGGGCCTCAATATTTGCTGAGAGAGCAAAACTGAGACAGATCTTTGCGGGGAGTCACTGACCCTGCTGAGCCTTGCTTTTCCCATCTGGACAATGGAACTCCAAAGCCCACCACACTCCAAGGTCAGGTGGAGGCATTGGAAGGGCAGGAGTTCCGTTTGGCTCCCACCTGCCCCCTGCACCCCCTTCTGCTGTTGGACCAGCAGTCACTGCAGACCAGCCCCCAGCTGCGCTGGGGCCACGATGGGGCTTCGGGACATTCTTGGAACACAGGAGGCTCTGGGACAATTGTAATTTAATAAAGCCCAGGCTTTGGGTCAGTCCTGGCCATACATTACCTTGCGGGCTCCTCACACAAGGCTGGACTCAAGACTGGTTGTCCTCAGGTTCCAGAAGGGGACATCGAGGCTGGGAGGGAGGGCAAGGAGTGAGGACGCGGAGGCTGAGGGGAGCGGAGGGGCTGGGAGCCAGAGAACCCTGCGCCCCCAGGAGCTGCCCAGCCTGGGGCCGTCTTCTGGGCTCTCCCCGTGTCTGCCTCTCCCTCTGTGAACAGCATGTCGGTGCTCTTCCATCTCCCCTTGGGTCACGTTTTCCTGTGTCACAGGAGCCACCAAATCCACGATGACATTTCATCTTGTGTCTGTCTCCTGGCATCCCTCGCACTGGGAATCATCAGAGAGCTGGGCACTGCGTCCGTGCATCACAGTCGCGTCCTCAGCGCCCAGACTGCTGCCCTCCGGCGTCCACCAGCTGCTCAATAAACATTTGTTCTCGAAATGAAGGCCGCTTCTTGCGCGGCCCAGGGTGCGGACGCCCGTTTACGGGGCGGAGCAAGTCCCCGCTGCTGGGTCCTTACGGAAACCCTCACTTCTGCACGGACCCCCCGGTTCCGGTGAGCCCTCGGGTCGGCGCGGACACATTCGGCCGCACCTCTTATTGTTGCCATTATTTTATTCGTCAGAGAGGAGGGGAGGGCCTTTCCCCGGAGCACCGGCCCACCGCAGGTGAGGGTCTGTGACCCGCCCAGGTGAACTGAGGCGGGGGCTTGGGGCCTCCGCGTCCCTGTGCGCCGACCCACAGGCCCCGGAGCTAGGACCGGCCATCGACGAGGCGCAAGCACGGGCTTCCCTCCCTCCGACCCCACCAGGCCCTGGGGCCGGGGCCGGGGGCGGGGCGGGCCCCCTGGGGCCGGGGGGCGGGGCGGGGCGGGGCGGGGCGGGGCCGGGCGGGGGCTGCGCGTGCGGCCGTACTAGGAGGAATACGGCGGCCGGCTGGGCGGTTTCCCGCCGCCGCCGCCGGTGAATGAGTCCCTGCTGCGCTGCCGCTGCCGCCGGAGCTGGAGCTGCGGCCGCGTCCCCCGCGCGGGCCCCGACCCCTTGGCGCTGAGACCCCGGCGCGCCCGCCGTCAGCCTCGGGCCACCACCCAGGGGCAGGTGAGTGTGGGGACCCCGTCACCCCGGGGAGCGGTCTGCTAGGACCCCCCACCCCGATCCAGGCTGAGTCTGGCGGTGGGGGGGGGGGGGACGCGCGGGAGCGGTCAGCTTGCTGCGCTTTCAGCCCCCGACTCACCTCCTCTCCCTGACCCGACCCTGGTGACTGGACCCTCAGCCCTGCGCAAAGCCACAGGTGGGTGGGAGCTTGGGGGGGGGGCGGAGCTGGGACATCCTGGGGATCCGCACACAGCGTGGGTGTCTTCCCTTTGGACTGAGCGCAGACCCTTTAGCAAGCGCTTTGAGATCCTCAAGACGGGGTGGGGGTGGGAGGGGGCCGCTCTCCCCTGGGAGCCTCCCAAGAGTCAGCGTCGCCCCCACCTCCCTCTATTCGCCTTGGTTCTGGAAAGTTGAGCTAGGTCTCTCTGGGGAGGGAGGAGGGTGATACGCTCTGAGTGATCCTGCTGCACTTACCCCGCACCTTTGACCAGGACCCTGAACGTGTGGCCCCCTTACACAGGCGCCAGGAGCCCCCCTTCCAGGTTCCTGCATTTCCTGACCCTGCTTCTCTTCTCAGACTCTTCAGAGCTCCTCCTGGCCTCCTGCCTGCCTGCCCCCATGAAGAAAACCAACATGTGGTTCTTGGAGCGTCTTCGGGGGTCCGGGGAAAATGTCAGCCCTGGGAGTGAGGCAGGGGACAAGGGATCCAAGGGACCCCTATACAGCAATGTGCTCACACCCGACAAGATCCCTGACTTCTTCATACCCCCCAAGCTGTCTGCTGGCCCCCCAGATCCCGAGGGGCAGGCAGAGCTGGGCCCCACACCATCGGATCAGAACCTGGCCTTGGGGACACCCCGCCGAGCCCCCAGGAGCCCCCGGCTGCCTGCCAAGCTGGCCGCTGAGAGCAAGAGCCTGCTGAAGGCAGCCACGCGGCACGTGATCCAGATCGAGAGTGCGGAGGACTGGCCAGGGGAGGAGGCGGCCACCAACGCAGACCCTCAGGCCCAGGGCGCTATGTCCCTGCCCTCTGTGCCCAAGGCCCAGACGTCGTATGGCTTTGCCACACTGGCAGAGAGCCCCCACACACGGCGCAAGGAGTCCCTGTTCCACAGCGAGCATGGAGCCCTGGCTCAGGTGGGGTCCCCAGGTGCTGGGCGCCGTCGGGGGGGTCCCAAGGCCAATGGGGGAGATGGGGTGCCCAGGGAGGCTGGTGGGGCCCTCATGAGCCCCAGCCGCTACTTCAGTGGTGGGGAGAGTGATACAGGGTCATCGGCCGAATCCTCTCCCTTTGGGTCCCCTCTGCTCTCTCGCTCTGTGTCACTGCTGAAAGGCTTTGCCCAGGACAGCCAGGCCAAAGTGAGCCAGCTCAAGCACTCGGCGGGCCGCCACAGCTCCCTATCTGCTGAGGACAGTGCACCAGACGCCAGCCCTGGGGCTCGACGCCGTTTGACCCGCAGGGCCACCCCAGAGCCAGGCCCCGAGACTGGCCAGGTGCCCCGTGCAGAGCACGCCGTGCGGATGGGCCCTCGGGGCAGCGTTCGGCTGCTGGCGGAGTACGATGCAGCCCAGGCCCGCCTGCGGGTGCGCCTGCTGGCCGCCGAGGGCCTCTATGACCGTCTGTGTGATGCCCACAGCATCAACTGCTGTGTGGGCCTGTGCCTGGTCCCTGGCAAGCTGCAGAAGCAGCGCAGCACCATCATCAAGAGCAGCCGCCACCCCATCTTCAATGAGGACTTCTTTTTCGATGGCCTAGGGCCGGCCAGCGTCCGGAAGCTGGCCCTCAGGATCAAGGTGGTCAACAAGGGCGGCAGCCTCAAGCGGGACACGCTGCTTGGGGAGAAGGAGCTGCCGTTGACCTCCCTGCTCCCTTTCTTGTGAAGGCCCCTCCCTCCCGAGGGTGCAGAAGGAAGACCCCACCACCCCTCCCACCCAGGTCCCCTTGGGCAGGAGGCTGCTTGTCCAGGCCAGTGGAGGGGGCTGGGGTGGGGGGTGCTCAGGCTGGGGCTGCAGTCAGTGCTGGGGGTGACTGGGTTGCTGACAGTGACCAGAATGCTATTTGTTGTGGATTAATTTTTTTTGGAAGAGGAAGAAAGGGGGCTTCCAGGAAAGAGAAAGGGACACTTTGCAGGGCTGAGTGTTCCCCCTCCTGGCCCCATGCCCTAAGTTCTCCGCAGCCTTCCCCCTTCCAGAGCTCTGGAAAGGGGTTCTCGGGGGGGGGGGGGGGGGCGGCAGAACCTGTGCCTGGAGGCAGTTGATGTGGATCACAGACGTAGAGGTGACCAGTCCTGAGGCCGAGCCCCATCTTTTCCTTGGTCGTAGGGGAGTCCCCCTGGCCCTGCCCACGAGACACCCCCTCCCCCGCCAGAGAGGTACCGGGCCTGGGACCTGCCAACAGCACCCACGGGGCCACAGAGTCGGAGCACATCAGGGAGGAAGGCGCCGCGTCCGGCCTGAGAGCCAGTACCTGGCAAGAGACAGGCAGAGAAGGGAGGCGGCCTTGGGGGGAGCCTGCAGGAGGAAGCCCTAGCGGGGAGCCAGACAGCTCGTGTGTGTGCTGGCTTCCTCAGCGCCTCCCCTGTGTGGCTGGGCCGCCTCACCTGCCTCCCCGGAGGGGCTGCTCAGAACAGGCCCAGAGAGTGGCGCCAGCCCCCTCCCCCCCGTCCCTCGGGGGCGCCCTTGGCAGCTGGAGGCCAGGAACTGGCGGCCGGACTTGACTTCATGTGGTAAATAGACTTTGGTTAGGGTGGGTGGGACGGAGGGTTGAAGCTGGCACACCAGGACCCTGTGTGGCCCTTGATGCTGCTAGACCACTGCGTGGGCTTCATTGTGTCATGTGCGGGTCCTTGGGTGATGTTTGCGGACGTTTCCTGGCCTAACAGAACGGAAATGGTACAGTTGGAAGCGGGGGCCGGGCCGGGCCAGGCCGGCTGTGCCTGTTTGCTGCTCTTTGCCGACCTGCTGGGCGTGCATGGACCCGGGCAGACCAGGATGGGGCACCCCTCCCCATCAAACACTGTCTGTCCCAGCTAGGTTCCCCAATCCCACTGAGGGAGGGGTGGAGGGCAGGAAAGCACTTGTTTCCATAGCCCAGGAAAGCACTTGTTCCCCTTTGTACTTCTGGGAGAATTTGGGTCCTTGGAGCTGAGGTCCCTTGCTGCCCCCCCCCCATCTACCTCTGCCCTAGGCCTCTGCCCCTTCATGCTCCCTGCTCCCAGGGTCAGAGGGGCTCCCCTTTACTCTGGAACCTGGGGACCACCCAGCACCAGGCTTGTGGGCTGGGACAAGTGGACAGGGGACCCTGCACGGAGTTTGATGCTTGGGGCTTGCACCGTCTCCCCTCTGACCCTGACCTCCTATCCCTGCTTTCCTTCCGGTGAGGGCTCGTTTTATACGCCCCTGCATTATTTGATATCTTTGTGTTCTGTGCTGACTGTGGATAAATCTTCCCTCCCCCAAGTGTGTTTGTTTATAAATGCTGTTTTTAGTGCAATAAAGGTGTTTCAGGAGTGCGGGGGTGGAGATCTTCTTGGTTTAATAACAAGAGGAATTTTGCCTTGAGTTCCAGGCAGGATCATGGAGTCTTCCCAGCCCTCTGAACCCTCTGGGTCTGTCTTCTGCTCAGGGCGGAGGCAGGAAATCCAGACTGCGGCAGAGCAGTGGCCCTGGGGACCCCAGGCCCTCTCACAGTCACAGCAGGTCAGTGTGCAGGTCCCGTTCTTGCCCTGCATCTGCACACACGACATTCCAGCTCACAGACCAAAGCTGCCCGTGGTGGCCCAGGTGACGAGAGCCAGGCCGGAACCCACGCCCTCGCCGTGGCCACCAGGAGGGTGCTAGGGCCTGCCCCTTCCAGGCGCTGCCCGCTTGGGGGCAAACGGGACTGTGGTGTCATCACTGAGAGGACCCCCCTCAGATGGCAGGAACGCCCCTGCGGACCTGCCCCTCACTATCATCTGGTCTGCCCTAGGCCTTGATGTCAGAGAGGAATCAGAATAGGAGCGTTTCAGCCAGGAGGCCTCCCCTCACCCTTGTCTGGGGACTTGGAGACCCCCTGGGCCAGGGCAGTAGCGACAGCCTGGGCTGCCGGCCATTCACATCGACGCTGTGCCATCAGCCTCGAATGCCTCCCAGCCTTCAACGTCTCCACTTTCAGGCTTCAGCTGAGATGGCACCTCCTTCAGGAAGCCTTCCCAGGCTTCTCAGCTGGGGAAGGGGGCTTTTCTCAGTATGTACTACATCTGACCTCGGCTCACACGGTGTGTGGGGTCATGTCAGGGTTGGGACAGGTTCATCTGGGTGAGTGGTGTCTTCAGCTCCAAAACCATGCTGGGCACCCAAGAGGCGCCTGCCTGGTGACTGATGAACAGCCTGACCCCATGTCTGTGCTCCTGCAGGGCTGCTGGGGAACAGGGAAGCCGGCCGTAAAGGGTGAGGGCTCCCCCTTCACCCCACCTTTGCTCTCACCCAGGGAACTGCTGATACTTTGGCCACTGTTTTTTTGTTTGTTTTTTTTTTTTAGCTTGGGCTCCCCAACCTCACCTCCCTGTGTTCTTCAGTGGAAGGGCTGAGTTGGCAAGAGATGTGGAGAACCCTTGTCTGTGAAGGCATGATGGGAGGTGACGTGGGAGACGTGTGGGGGCCCCGTCATAGAATGCTGGGGGTCAGAGATGGGACATCATGAGGAGGAGAGCAGCTCCGGCGCACGGGACCCCTCAGTCCCAGGGAGTTTGGGAGCTGGGCTGATGTGGGCTCCATTTACGCCAGACCTGCTCCATCTGACAGGTGGGGAAACAGGTCCAGAGAATCGAAGAAGGTCAGCTGCATCTTTGCTGACTTACTGTGCATCCTCCTCGACACCAGTTCTGGGATGAGAGGTGGATGAGGCAAAGCCAGAAAGACAAGCCGTCCCAGGCAGTGCTGAGCCAAGCTTGGGGCCGGGGACAGGGCCCCGGTCTAGGGGGCACAGCTGGGAGGGAGGAACGTCTGAACCTCAGCCTGGAAGACGCGTGGGAGACCCTAGGGAGCCCTGGGGGTGCTTCCCTGCCGCCCCCACCCGGCACAGCCAGTGTCCTCCATGTAGAGCTGGTGGCACTGGTGGCCCCGCCAGGCTGGGTGGGCTGTGGGGAGAGCAAACACAGCTGAGTGTTCAGTCTTTCTGCCTGAAGGGGGCGTTAACTGAGCGCCTGCTGTATGCTGGAAGCTCATGTCCCAGACAGAGAACCCAGGATCCGGAGGGGGGATCAGGATGCGGCCGTACTGTGTGCAGCTCCCGCACCCTGGGTATGCCTGCAGTCATCTGCTGGTTTCTTCCTCTGGCCTCCTCTGTGTGCCCCCACTTCACAGCAGAGAAAACAAGGGTACAGAGGGAGCCCAGAAAGGAGCTGGCCTTGAACCCATATGCAATAGGACAGGACCATGACCAAGGATTGGGCTGGATCCCCCCAACCGCTGGCTCAGAGCTGGGGTCCATGAGGACCCCACACCAGAGCTGGTTTCCTCCGGGGTCTTGAACAGGCTGTGAGTGCCCTGTGTCCCGCACAGGTCCCAGGACCGAGTGTGTCTCCCCCGCAGGTCCCCCAGTTCAGGGCCCTGTCTCCTGGTCTGACCCCAGGCCTGGCTCCTTTCTCTCCTCTTACCCTCACGGGGCGCAGACTGTCAGGCCCATCACGAAGCCACCAGGACTTTGTATGGAGTTGGGGTCCTGAGCAGCCCTCCGCCTGCTGACAGCTGACAGATGAGCCGCACTAATGAGGCCTGGTCGGGCCCCAGGATGTGTTGCCAGGGCAACTGGGCGCCTTCTTGCCTCTTCCCCACTAGCCACTGTGTGTGCATGTGTGTGCGTGCGCAACTGTGTGTGCGCACATGGGCATCTGTGCACATGTTCACTGTGGGGGGGGGTGGCCACATACGTGCTGTGTGCAGTTCTGTTTGTGAGCACACGACACAGTGCAGGTGTGACTGCACCAGCACATGGGTGCACATGCGTGTTAGCAGGTGTGTGCACCTTCTTGGCTTCAGGCCTAGATGGGCTGTGTGTGTGCTCCTCTGTGCACGCACTTGTGTGCACGAGGGCCTATGTCGCTATGTAGTGTGTGTGCATGTTTGTGTGCCGCCTCCGGATACTCAAAAGGACGCACCCAGAGGGGACCAGCAGCTCGACAAGCCCCTGTGCTGGCTCCTCGCTGGGAACACCCCCGGCCGTGTGCCCTCACTCTGCCTTTAGGTATGAAGCCGTTTTCTCTTTCTCGGGGTGTCTGTCCCCAGTGAGGTCAGATCCCCCTTTATACCCCTGGTTGTGTCACACACTGCCCATGAGAGCAGTCTGACGGGAACGGTCTGTTGTTTGCACACCGTGCTCAGCCCTGGGTGCAACTAGGGGAGGTGCCTGGCTGCCACACTCAGTGGCCCTACACCCAGGAGAGCCACGGACACCCAGGGCTGCCACTAGCAGTGGGCAAATGACAAAATGGTGCCCCTTCCTTCCTCTGACTGGAGCTGGCGCTGCTGACAACAGAGCCCAGAGATGAGGAGTCAGATGCCTGGTGACCTTTTGGGCACCTGGATCTGACTGTGCCTGAAGTCCATGACCACATACCGTTTCAGTTGAGAGGGACAATAAAGTTCCTTCTTTGTTTAAACTAGCTCGATATTTATTTATCTATGTATTTACTTGTTTGTTTGTTGTTTTCCATTTGTAGTTAAAGGACACTGACACGGCAAGTCTTTAGTCTGATGAAGTAGAAACGGCGACATGGGAAAGAAGGCAGGCGGCCTGCAGAGCCCGGAGGGCTGCTCGCCCTGCGCTGGGAAAGGCGGCACCAAGGGGGGCCGGGCAGCAGGGGCGGCAGGGCCCTTCCGGAGGTGGAGGGGGGAGGGGACACCCTGTGTCTCCATCCCTGCGTCTCCATCCCAGCCAGGCTGCCCGCCTTCACCTGCTACCCCTGCT